TCCTTTGGTAGCACATTTTAAACTTGATGGTAGCACATTTTCTAATACTGCTGAAGAGAAAGAATATATGAGTAACATTCCTTATTCTAGTGCTATTTGAAGCCTAATGTGTGCCATGGTATGCACTAGACCAGATTTGTCTCATGCTGTTAGTGTGGTTAGGAAATTTATGAGTAATTCAGAAAAAGCTTATTAGAAGGCAGTAAAGTGGATTATGCGATATCTAAAAAGTACTAGTGATATTTGTTTGGTTTATGGTTCTAATGGAATTGGTAGTGGTCTTGTTGGCTATGCAAATTCTAACTATAGAGGAGATCTTGTGAAGTAGAGATCATTGACGTGTTATATTTTTACCCTTTATAGATGTGCTATTAGTTGGAAAGTAATACTTCAGTCTACTGTTGCTTTGTCTACTACAGAAGCGGAGTACATGTCATTAACAAAAGGGATTAAAGAAGATATATGGTTGCAAGGTCATATTAATAACTTGAGTTTAGATGTGCAAAGACATGTTCTTTATTGTGATAGTCAAAGCGCATTGAATTTGGCTAAAAGTCCAATATATCATGAAAGATCAACGCATATTAATGTTAAATTGAATTTCATTTGAGATGTGATTAAAGACAAATTGTTCTCCATAAAAAAGATAGTCACCGCAGATAATCCAGCTGAAATGTTGACTAAGCCTTTCCCTGCAAAGAAGTTCAAGTATAGCTTGGACTTGGTGAATGTTCGCATCACGTGAGACCCTTTGGGGTGGGTTGGTAAGAGAGTTGTTCTTGGTTGCTGATGCTTTGGGAGAATTCAAGTTAAGGTGGATAATTGTTGAAATGCCTTGAATCTGTATAACTCTTATGTCTCTTGAGTTTTAACTATTATTCTTCTTAATGAGTAATGAAGAGTTACAAGTTGTAATAGAGAATTATGAGTTGTTATGATGAGTCATGAGTCACTATGTATATGAGCTCTAAAAGCTTATAAGACATTCTTCTATGGTGTATCTTGTAGTGTGTACTCTAAAATTACAGCAATAGAAATCTCTCAATCTACCCGTGGACGGAGGATATATTGACTGAACTATGTTAATACTTGTATGTTCTTTTCATTATTTTTTTTCTTCTTTTTTGTAATAACAGAAGAGGGCGAGGACCCTTCTAGGGTGGGCTTTGGAGTTTAGAGGCACAAAGAGTCTCTCGTTAGATGACTTCGTTCGAGAGAGAAATTGTTGGAATGTGCGAACAAAGTTCCAAATTTATTAGAATTGGGGAGAATCAAGGGTATATAAGTATGGTAGATATCTTCATTAGTATGAGGCCTTTTGTTAAATGTCCAAATACAAAAGCATAAGGGCTTAGACCCAAAGTGGACAATATCATACTAATGTGGAGATATAGTAAAAAGTCTATACTAAACCATGAAGACTTTAACCAGAAATTTATTTTTCAAATCTTCAATAGGTTTATATATAGTTAAAATTAAATGTTTGATGAATCTTATTTTAAAATGTAATTTTAGAAAAACTTTAGATTTAATTTTAGAAAAAAAAATAATGATAAATATTTTCCATATATAGTATTTGTTATTAAGTTTTTTCTCCATTATATGAGTGATTTATGTTTATTATAGTCATATCTTTCGTGAAACTAATTAAGATACGTATATTTTATCACTTCTTCTTTATTATCCCATATTAAGTAATATATTTTAAATTTTAATATTTTGATTTTGGTATTTCTAAATTGTAAACTTTGTTAATTAAAAAAAAAAAAACAAAGAGATCATAACTTATCTAAACCCTAAACCCTAAACCCTAAATATTATATTCAAATTTTGACAATTATTTTAAATGTTTGAATTATTGCAGGTCATTTTAACTTTATCCATGCTAATTAAACAACCTGAATTAATAACTCTACTTTTAAAGAAGTAAATTTAATTTTGTAAAATAAATTGTATATAACAATTAAGTTGAAATTTGATTTTAGACTTAATTATTTAGGAGACAAAATTAATATTAGTTTCAACTTAAATGTTGTAATTAAAATTTGAGTTTACTTTTAGTTCACTATGAATATAAAAAAATTTATACAGTCAATAAATTAGAATATATTATAAACATAATTTTTATATTAATTAATTATTATAAAAATTAATAATCTTACTAATATGATAATTTATAATTAAATAATAATGTAAAAAATCTTTATATTATAAATACATTTAAATTAAAATTTTGTTACTGAAGACTTATGGTTTATTTTTTTGTTGCAATCCTACTGCTTCGTTACCTAGTCTGATTGACTACAGCCATTTGATCATGTAATCCTCATTCTCTCTCTAAAAAGTTAGGCCAACAGTCCCATGCACGAGCATCTTGCCAAAATGATTACTTTGATTTATTGGCCGAAAAGCATTACCGATCAAACTCGTCCTTGCAATTCCTGGTAAAGCCTCTGCGGTTCACTTTCTTTCGGTAGATTTCTTTTCATTAGAAGCAAAATAATTAATTTGTATTATTGTTAATTTCTTTTAAAAATAAAAATCGAAACAATATTTTTAATTTTTTTTACTAGATATGCTATTAATTGGATAGTTGAATGTGATGGGACTATCATCTCACCGTTGATTTCGGGATTAAATAATATACAGACAAAATTTATACCACGATTATTGACTTTACGAATTTTTATAAAAAATTATATTTAATTATTTATTAATTAGAAGTTGTTAATAGAATATCCATCAAATAGCACATTTTATAAAAAAAAAAAGGAGAAAAACATGTATCTATTTTCAAACAAGGTGTTTTTATTTTTATATTTTTAATACTTTTTACTCCTTACATTTAATAAAATTAATCCTTTTAAGTCTCTCACTAAAGATTAAAAACGTATTAAAAATTTTAAAATACATAATTTTTACAATTTTAAAGATTGAAAACAAATAATATTTAAATAAAGATTAACTTAGAAACTTAATTCTGGACGACCAAATTATGACTTTAACAAAATCTCGTTGTGATGTTGTGTATATATTTTTATCAATTTGTTAAGAACGAGGATGAAATTATTTTAGGAGTAATTCAGATAAAAGTTGCTTTATTTAATAAGTCTTTATAAATATCGAATTTTATTAACTCAATTTTTACATAAAGTTATCTTAATTATGTATATTAAATTATATATATATATATATTTAACATTTATTTATATTTTTAAAATTGTATATTTAGATGTAAATATAAAGTTGTTCAATAAATGTATAATTATATATATATATATATATATATATATATATATAATTTTTAGTAACTTTGATTTATTTAAAATAAACTTTTAATTCAAGAGTTATATTTGAAAAATTTTAATATTTATAAAAAAAATATTAATCTTGTATTAGATTTAACTTTTTATTGGTAAGCATTAAATTAAATTAATCACAATGCAATTTCTCTCTCTCACTCTCTTTTTATCTATTTTCCCTTCCTTTTGAAGTAGGTACCATTTTAGTCTTTGTTCTTATCCTTTTAATAATTTTTGTTAATTAGGTGAATAAACTGTTTTTTAACTTAATAAAGTTATACAACATACTTCAAATTGAACCGCTTTAGGAACCTTCCTGTCTGGCTTTTGTGCCTCAAGAATGTAAAACAGTGTGAGTGCCCCTACTGCTGAAAATATGCTTGTTTTTAGTTTACTATTTTCAGATTTTTATTTTCTAATTGCTTAATTTTAAATAGTTAACTTTTTTTTATTTTTAAAAATACTTTCTTTTCTTTTTCTTTTCAATGATTTAATGGTCTTGATCCAAGTGGAAAAATATGTATGAAATTAACTATACTACAGAAAAGTATGTACACTTCAATGGCGTTTTAAATGTAGTTTCATTATTATATAAATATCGCTTAAAGATGTTTTTATCACAATATTTTAGTAGTTTTTTTCTTTCTTTAATCCTTTCGAACAATTTTTATTTTAATTCTTATAATTTTTGAATTTGTATTTAGTTCATTTTACTGGTATGATTAAAAAACAATTACATATGACAACATCTTAATAGACCATGTTACGATAACGTTATTATAAAAAAATAGTCAAAATATAATAACTAAAACATATTTAAGCTAATGAATATATACGATAAAATTATGTAGATTTAAGCTTAGATACAAAACATAGTTTTGATAGAAGCAAAATTTTATTACTTGTGTGATGAAAAAATCTCAATTACATGAATATTAATAAGATATTCCTATAATTTAATATTATAATATTTTTGTATCAATATTTACAAATTTTACTTAAAAATTTATACTTGATACTGATTTTCATTCATATCTAAATAATATTATTTTTATAAAATCACTTTATTAAAAATTGACTTTTAAGTAAATTATTTTTTTTAAAATCAATTTTACGAATGTTGAGGAACGTAGTTAGTCCGAGGTAGAGGTGAGCACATATCAAATTTTAAGTTTAAATTGATTTTTCACTTTTTTACTGATTTATTTAGATTTTTCTTTCATTGGATTCGATTAATCCAACCAGATTATATAGCATACAGTTTAGTGACACAAACAAAAATAAAATTTTAATATTTCAATTATCATTATAGCGTATTTATAGTCAATTTTATTTAAATTTTCTTGTGTAAAATATTTGAATTAATAATATGATTATAAAAAACAAAAAAAATTAAAAAAATTTTTGAAACAATAGCAAATTAGCAATAAACATTTAGAAAATAAAGTGACTCAAAATCCGAATAAAAATAGGGTAAAATAACCTGTTTTGTCACCTGAACTCGTTTTAACATGGACGTGTATCACATCATCTATATAAACTATTATTATCAGCGATTATTAAAATCGACCAACGAAAACACTAAATTTCGCTAATTCGCTTCATTTAAAGGAAAGTGGAAGATGACTTCCATGACAAACCCGACAGTACGACAAACATTTTAATTGAATAAAATCAAAACTTCGAAAATTATTATGTACAGCTGCTAAGAATATTAAATTTTCTATTCCCATTTGATACATCATATAATACATAAACCGAAACCCCAAAAATATCTACATCGTTCTACTTTTTCACTTACTCTTCGTTTCTTTGTAGGTGTCAAGTTCTGAGTTCTAATGGGTTGTGCTGGATCCTCACAGTCCAAGTCAAATGGTAATTTGTCACTGCCCTGTTTGTTTCCATTTATCTCTGCTTTAAGATTTGCATTTGGGTTGTTGTAAAAAGCTGAAGATGTGTTTTTTCTTTTCTTTCTGGGTTTTGTTGGTTTGAAGATAATTGAATTTGATACTCATAATTGTAAAAGCCCATGTTAACCATTCACATAGTGATTATGCAAAATGTAAACTTTTAAGCAAAATAACTTTTGCATACGGCACAGGCGGAACAGTTTTTTTTTTTCTTTTTTCTTTTTGGATCTTTATCACATTCTATCCAGAACGATGAAAATCCTACCATTTTTGTGCTGTGACTATAGAGAGCAATAATCTACTATTCTGATTGATTATTTTTCTAAGAATTGCTGTCCGTGGACGAGAATTAGGATGATGTGCTTAATACAACTTTACTTGATGCTGAGAGTTGCATTGATAAGTTCACTGTTTAAGCGATTTGATTGGTCCATATTTCTTTTTGTAGTTTGAAAATTTGGTTATTGGTGGGTAAAACTGTAGTTTGTTTATGCTTATTTAATTAAGGATGAAAATTGGTTCGTCTTCACTCCCCCTGTGAAGTGGGCACTGAGATTTAGGTGTGTGTGGATGCAAAGGGTCAAGAAAGTAATAATACTGATATAAAATTGCTCACGAATTTATCTACTATTGTTGATTTTGATTTTCATGTATCTAAGATTTTGATTTAACTGTCCCTGTCTACTATAAGAGCCTTATCTTTAACTTTTTATTGTTCCATTTCCTAAATTATCACATCAAATAGGAGAGGATGTCAAGAGTACTTTATAAATACCCACCTCTTCCAATTCAAGAAGGCACATTTTAAGGACAAAATCGTGAGGCTCAATACTTACTTTCATAAGATCTGAATTTACGGTTGAGTTAAATAATGCGGAAGGGGCGAAATATATTAGTCCAAGAGCTAATTCTCAGATATGTTTACATGCCAAAATAAATTTGCCCCTTCTATGTTATTGATTTGGGCATGCTTATTTTTCACTATGATGGGTAGTTCCCATTTGATTTTGTTTTAGTTCTGATGAATGGTGCTTCCAGTTGTGAATTAAGCATGATAATTGAACATTAACTTGCAATTTGTCTAACTTTGAGAGGACTGAATTAGCTGGTTTGTGGTAATAGTATGTGAAGCATCATCATTTATATGCATATGTCACTCTGGGAGGAACTGATTTTCTGCATTTGAAAAACAAGCACTCGGTTGTCAAATGTCAATTAAGTTCTCCTTATTTAGTGGTGATTGTAGTTAGATTTAACACAAACTGCTGAAATGTAATTATCATCTTAGTATCTTAGTGGCCTCCTGCTAATCATAATGCTCAAGTTTTAGATTAAAGTTTTATGATTGTTGCCATTACAATGTTTGAAACTACGTTAACAGGGGCTGTAAAAAAGATCCGAAAACCTAAGCCTTGGAAGCATCCTCAACCAATAACGAAGACTCATCTAATGCAGTTGCGAGAAGAGTTTTGGGACACTGCTCCTCACTATGGTGGCCGGAAAGGTATTGTCATGATCCTACAAATGGATATACTTCGAAGCTTTTGTGTTATAAAGCACTATTGGACATTTCATTAGCACATAAAGCGTGTTTAAACGAAACAATTTTGATTTATAAAAACTTTAATAGTATTAATATCTTTTTAATTTGTCTTATTTCTCTCTATCGCTTCCACTACCATGTTATATTATCATTTTACTCTCTTATATTCTTATCTCTCTTTCATGGGGTAAAAATACCCGTTGTAGTATCTACCAAATATTTTCTTAAGCGAAAATCATTCATTTGCATGAATCAATTCAGCTCTTATAATTTGCTGGAGAATGGCTTTGTTTTATGGAAAATATTGACATTGGTTAATAGAGTTAATTTTAAGAAAAAGAAATATTATATAAAAATATAAATATATGATAAATGCTTTTCTAATTTAAGTTTATTGTTTTTAGATATTTAAAATTAAATTTAAGATTAATACTCAGAAAATATGTTAGTGTGATGGGGCCATTAATAATATCACGTTCAAACATTTCCAATTTACGAGAAGAGAGATTGAAGATTATGTATTCTTATTTCTACTTTTGTACACTCGTTGAAGTGAGTTAAATAATGAAAATACTCGTTCCCCTTTATGCATGCTAGAGATATGGGATGCTCTTAGGGCTGCTGCCGAGGCTGATCTAACCTTAGCACAAGCAATTGTGGATAGTGCAGGTGTCATTGTCCAGAGTTCTGATTTGACAGTATGCTACGATGAAAGAGGTAATTAGATAATGTTGCATATAGTTATTTTTAAGAAAGATGTTTTTTAGCATCTAAGCGGGTATGTTTTAGGATTATTTTTTAGAAAATATATGTATACAAAAATTATTAAAAATAAATAGAAAATAAATATATTTATAATTTAAATAACAACGTAATTGTATTTTTTATTAACTATATTTACCAGCAGTATATGAAGGGAGTAACGGTCAATGGACTTACTAATTTGATCAAGATACAATGAACAGCATCCAATTAGTTAGTTGTCTGGCAGCTTTATAGATCCGAATGTGATTCTTGAGAGGGTATTTAAAATCTGTGGTTCCCTAAAATTATTCCTTAGAATATATTTCATGAAATTTTCCTGAGAATCTTGGACATTTTGCACCCAAAACATAGGCCTATTAAGCTTTTGTAGTGAGTTGAATCTCAATTATTTTAGAATTTTTAGTTTTATTTGAAAGTTAATTTTTAAAGTTTTTAGAAAGGAAAGAAAGAGTTTAAACCTTTTAAAACTTTTCTGACAGCATATTTTTAAGTTTTTCTAATTTTAAGAATTTTTTTATTAAATTTCACTCGATTTATTTTACTCTTTAAACTTTTTCTTTTTTGTCTTCTTCTAAACTTTCAAAAAAATTTAACCCTTCGTTTCATTTTTTTTTTAACTTTCAAACAAAGGTAAATTCTGAATAAACTGTCCTTTTCATCTTCCCCTCCTTAAAATAACATCCGAACAAAATTTAAAACTTCTCCCTCTTATATAAAAACTCTTAAACAAAGATTATTTTGCCCTTCATCCTCTTTCCTCCCATAAACTAACTTTCCAACACAGTTTTACTGTTATTTTATTCTTTCTATTTGATATTTTCATTTTCATTTTCATGTTTTTTTTTTTGGGAAGCTATTTGTACTATTTCACATTTGTGTTTTCCATTATGGTTGTGTTACCTGCATTAATATTTTTGAATTTTAACTCTTGTTACAATGGTTGTTGCAGGAGCAAAATATGAGCTACCAAACTATGTTTTGAGTGAGCCAAGTAACTTGATTCGAGACAGCTGATAACAAAGAATAAATATTAAGTAGTATAAGTATCATTGCAGGGAAATGATTGTAAATCATGTATATTATATAATCTCATTTATTTGGTCACTCACGTAGAAGTTCCAGCACCTACGCTCTGTTAGAGAAGATAAATATCCTTCAACCATCCTTTGGCAAGTATATATAAACCCTCTTGTGCCTCCAAACCCTTGTATATATATTTTTAATAATGGTTAAATTAAAATTTTAGTTATTATATTTTATATGATTTTTTTATTTAGTTTTTATAATAAAAAATACATACTTTAATGTTATATGAATTTGTTTTTATAATTTTTTTTTCATTTGCCAATATTATAATAATTATAGATAGTTTTATAGGAACTAAGTTGAAAAAAAAAATAGCGTAAGAATTAAAATGTAAAATTCTTTTCATTTAAGAACTATAGGGATTGAATCTAACACCACTTTAATGACAATAATTATTTCATGAGTACTTTTTTTTTTAGGGACTTAAAAATATAGCAGGGACTAAAATGAATTTTCTTTTAGAAAGTAGAACAAAAAATATTACTTAAAGTTAGACACCAAATTTGTAATTTAATATTAAAAAAAATTGTAGAGAAGCACAATGACATTTCTAACAAAGAATAACATAAACACAAATAAAAATGACAAATTAAAAATAAGATCTAAGTTTGAGAGTTTAATTACGTGTGGAAAATGTATTAACATTTTTATAATATTTGTAGAAATAATTATTTTAAATTGTGTAAAAATTAAAGTTATATTTCATTTTTTTAATTCTATATTTTATTTGTTAAAAAGAAAATAACAGAGAAAAAATGTTTCAAAAGAATTAGGCCTAATAAGTTTGGATTCTTGATCGCATGTATTTTTTAGTGCAATGAAAAATTCAAGGTTTTGTCGTTGAAATTTTTTTTTTCTAAAAGTAAAAATTGAAAATAAAAAATTTATTAAAAGTTGTATGAAAAATTTGAAATTAAAAACCTTTTTTAAAGATATATTAAAATGAAAATAAAACCTTTGAGGTTATTAAAATAAATGGAAAAAAAAGATATTTGTTTTTTTTTTACAAAAATTTTAATTTTATGATTACATATTTCTGAATGAAAGAATAATTTATACATTATTATTCTTAATCGTTATAAGATTTAATATATTATTCATTCTATTTTTAGATAAGAAAAGGTAAGAAAATATTTGGTATTTGAAAATAAAAAAGAAATTTAAGATAATTTACATGTATAAGGTACTAGACAGTGTAGATAAATGAGAAGTTTATAATTTGACATGCTTTTGTAGCCTATTTTTATGTACTTGACTCCTATTTGAATGAGTTTTGCACTGATTATTCTACTGATTATCACAGCTTAACATGTCTAGGGCTTTAATGGAGTATTGAAATATTTTGAGCACAAATTGGTGAAAAATAGGATAAACACTCCTATGCTTTAGCAGTCAGCAAGTATATGCTTCAAAGCATATGTGCAACTGTGCATATTGGTATGCACGTTCATGCTTCTTGTCTAGATATTTGAATTTGAAGAAATATAGGGTTTTATATATAGAAAAGAAAGATGACTGCAAAAAGCATCTTGGTTTTGGACATACTTTTGACGACACTTGGAACGATTAAGGACGAAGATCATTAACGAAGACAAATAAAGGTTTTTTAGAGGCTAAACAAGTGATTGAGAGCGTGTTTAAAGAATGAGAACTATTTTCATTCTCTTCTTTAAGGATTTTTCTAATTTGTATTCTTCTTTCAATTAGATAAAGATTTGTTTACGATTACTATGATTGTTTACATTATGATGAGTAGTTAAATCCATAGGTAAGGATATGGTAGACCCTTTACATGACTTTTTACGTTTAGTGATAATTTCAGTTTTCGTCTATGATTGATTTTTATTCTAGTTCATATAAACGTATGTTAGGAATTGACTATTCTTAGCATCTTATAACTAATTATATTATAAGCGACTGTACTACATGTAGTTAATAAATTTATAGGATAAAACGAGATAAAGAATTAAGTAGACCAACTTGATTTTTCTCTTTCAATCATTATTAAATTAACAAGCTCATAGGTACTTTATGTTTTCTCTTAATTTTACTTTGCATGACCATTGGGTGTTAATAGATTTTATATGAATGATTTATAAGCATAAGGAAACTGGAATTAGAATTAGATTAAAAGTAAACATAAAGAAGTATAAAGGTGAAATCATATACCCTAAGTTCTGTCATGACCCTTTTTTATAAAGGATCAATAACATAATACAAATTTATTCATGAGATGAAATATATGGTATAGAAGATATAATTCATATTTAATTTGAAATAATTTTCAGAAATAAAATATCAACATCTCAACAAAATAGCAGAGCTCTAAGGGCATTTTCATACAACCCAAAAATTTATATAATTATATGTATTTACAACAATTGTTCTACATGGAGTTCAAAATACAAATTTATATACAAAAATTACATCTCTTGAATACTGTAGTTAAATAGTCTAGACTCATCAATAAGACCTAGACTAACAAAATGACTAAAGCTATAATTCTTCCAGAAAGCATGATGACTCCAAACATCCCTCAGCTAGACCTTCCAGCATGGGAAGTAGATACATCACCTGTCACACTTGCTCACGTATTGTCGTACGATCATTATAGTACAAACACTAGTACAAACAAATACAAGGGTGAGTTTATATAATCAACTGTCATAATCATAGAGTATGAACTTATATTTATACAACTTTCATAATTCTCAGCAACACAACAATCTCAACCAATTTATGCAGCATGTTCAGCCCATTCCCAATCCATATAATGTAATGCAACAATTCAATTCCAACTAGTTTCACAGCTCAAGTATTCCAAAAGGAGCTATTTTTGGTCTGGAAGCGACCCATCTCAGTATTTGGATCCAGACACAACTCAACATTTCTACCGTTACATGTCTAACCACCAAAACATGTAACTCAGCTCTAGAATAATAAAAATCAGCATGATGCAACACAACTATATATCTTTGTTCAGCCAGTCTCAACACTTCAAATTTTTATCACAACTATATCCAACATAAATTATCAGCATTTACCAGCTAATTTCGGCACATATATCACAACATTTCAAACATAAGTAATTTCATAAACAGCAAAGAACCATCACACCTATCGAGTTCATTACATCCACTAACAACAATCAATCCACTCAGCCATGCTTATCTTGAGTTCTACCTTAAGGTTTATTCATACACTAACTCATTCTCAGATAAAACGAAATTATACATATAATATATCAGCATCTAGTAAATTAATAAAGCCAACTAAGATAAGCTCCCCTTACTTGAAATAGGTTTTCTTAGTTTGAAGTTTTCGTGAGTTCCAACGAGAGAAATGAAGCTCAAGGATCTTAGATCTCCTTATTATCACAAAGTAGGAAACTTTTGAGAAAAAAAAAATCAAGAAATAAGAGGAGAATAGGAGAATCAAGTCTCAAGAACTCACCTGGGTTCGCAAAAATTAAATGTTCTCACTTGGATCGGAAAGAAGTTTGGCTTCGGGAAAGTTTTCTCTAAGGGAAGAAAGTGAGAGAACAGAGAGAAAATAAGAGGAGAAGACTGTTTGGTGAAAAATGAACTATTTTTGTGCTGAGGTCCCTTAAATACCCCTCTAGGTTCATGCACTCTCGCTTGAGTGATCCCTACTCTTGCCTGGGCGAGCTCATCCTCGTCTAGGCGAGAAAATTAAATAGTGAAACCACTTAATTTTCTGTTATCCTCGCTTGAGTGAGAGACATCTCACCTGAGCGGGCAACATTCTTGCTGGGTGATAACGGATCTAGAGAGCTCATTTCTTTCTTGTGACTCCTCGCTTAAGCGAGGTTGCTTCTCGCCTGGGTGAGGGGAAAACTGAGAAAGTTCTATCCTATCTCGCTTGAGCGAGATCACTCTAAAATGCTCAATTCAGCACGACTCAGTCTTACTTGAGCCAGAACTGCCTTACCTGAGTGAGACACCCTACACTCATAACTCTCAATCTCTCCTCTGAATGAGGCAATACAAGTCCTCAACTATAATTTTTATGTTTTCACACACATAAAACACTCAATGATTGGCCATAAACCGTCACTACTAATTATATTTAACACAACAACCACTTAACACTACAAACACACAACTTTTATTTAGTAACTATACAACTCAACATACAACATCACATTCAAAATACCAAGACATTATAGTTAAATGATTATAACATCATTTTTAAAAGAATATATTTAGGGCATTTCAAGTGAGAAGAGTTTATTATTTTAAGAAGTGAGAGACATTAATAATGACCATTGAATTAAATAAAGAATTTAGATTTGATGTTGCTACTTCACTATTTATTTTCTTCTCTCTTGCCTCTTGTGCTTTTTTTTTCTTTTTCTATAGGTGATATTTTCACATAATTTTCTTTTTCTCTTTGTCTATTTCACTCTTTTTTTTTATATTACACTTCTCTTTTTTTCAAGGCTACGCGCTTTCACTTTTTGTCTTTTCAGTTTTCTTCGTCAACCACAAAGCACAAACTAGTCCTTTCCCTGTTAAAGTACAGAGTAAAGCAGAAGACGAAATACAACTAACGCATAGCACATTCAATCCGTGATTAGCATAAAGGCGTACGTGTGCGTAATTACGTAAAGGTTAGATTATTTCTATATTTTGTTTATATTAATTTGTTATACTTTCTTTTCTGGTTTCAATATTGAGTTTCAAATATTTTTCAGGCACTTGAGTTTGATTTTCTTGTATGCTTCCTATTTTTCTTTACAATGTCTATATTTATATAATTTCAATATTGAGGAAGAATTTTTAAGTTATTATATCATGTTTTTGTGGATTTTTTTTTAACATGCATGATTGCTTGCTTAATATCTTATCTATTGCTTCTTGTTCTTCAGTCATGAACAACACCATGTCAGAGTCAACAAACTTAACATGTCCTAAACCCCATTGTAGAAGATGTACAAAGCGTTCTGCCTAATACTACTACGAGCACTGACCACGAAAATGGTTATCATGATTCACCAAGTCGTCAATTACCACAACCGGTTGGTGTCTTCTCCGTTTAATACTTTTCTTATAACATTTTTTAATTACTATAATGTTCTGTATCCTTTTTATCCCCCCGTTTTATAATTACATTTTTTTTCCTTTTCAGATAAATCAATGGG